CTGATCAATTACTGCCCCGTCTACTGGCCACTCCGTCTCAGTTACGTGTAGAAAGATAGGTCCTTCCTTCCACTGCAGCTACATTCTCGCTGATGCAGGAAATTCCTACTGCACATACCATAAAAGGTTTGCCACCCCTTTCCACCTCTCTGATGGGCACTCTGTACTTATTTGTTTGCAGTAGTTCCTCGTCTTCTCCAATCTTGGTGACAGTGATTGTAGTTGGCACACCCTTTAACAGCAGCTCTGATGCGATTTCCTGTCTTATGAGACTAATCTGGGCGCCTGAATCTAGTAGCACATTTCCTTTCTTAACCTTTCCTCTGTAGCCCATAACCTCTACTGTAACTAGTGGGAGCAGGGCTTCTTTAGCGCCCACTGAAGCTACACCAACTCTTCCACCTTGACTTTCATCTCGGCTATTGCTGTTGCCCTCTGCATGAACCAGAGGGTGGTGGAAATATCTGCACCTCTGCCCATTTTTCTGCTCTGGACATTGGCGCCTCCTCTTGCAGGTAGACATCTGGTGGTTTCTTCCTGCCTTTTTTAAACAACTAAAACAGGCATGATTCTCCTTTAGGAAGTGCCACCTCTCCGGTGCTGTCTTTGAGATCAGCTTTTTACACTGGTCGATCCAGTGATCTCCGGTTTGACAAATCCAGCATCGGTGAAAACTTGAGGACTGAGCTTGTAAATTATCCTTGTCCTGGGCCTGTGACATATGACCAACTGTTGCCTGACGAGAGTCACTTCTGATAGGTGCGGCTGCACGCATTCTTGCTTTCATTTCTCCACCCATCCAACGAAGTAACATTTGGAGAGAAGCAGGATCTTTCTCCATCTCCTGATGCCTGAACCACACCTTCCTATCGCCTGAACCCATCTTTCTCTCTATCATGGCTAACATGTTGTTATTATCCATATCGTTCACTTGCCCAACTTCCTTCAACGTGTTGAAACTTCTTCCTACCAGCTGTACCAACTCACAAAAACGACCATCCTCTTGCTCTCTTAGAGGCCTAAACCTCGAAAAATCATAAATTATTGCATCTGCCACAACCCTCGGATTACCATAGATGGAATCTAACTGTTCCCAGGCAGCTTCATAATCTGACACGATGTAATGAGCTCTAGAGGACGTCCTTGTAGGCAGGTTTGCAATATCATGATTGCATCCCTTTCTCCATAATTACCCTCGATGAGGTGCATAAAGTCTGACTTGAATACGCAATAGTCTCTTACATCACCACTGAACCTTGGCAATTTAGGTCTTTCCATCTTAAAACTGCTCCTTGAGTTACTGACAGCTGGTGATGGAGAAGGATTGGTCTCAGCTATTCTAATCTCCTCCGGTAGGCTAGTCTCATCCACTGGGCAATTCCCAGCCTGATTTTCGGCAGCTGAATCCGTAGATTCCTCACTGATGGGGTAGTAGTCAGTGACAGCAATCTGAAGCTTCATAAATTTCTTCTGACATACCTCCATCCATTCCTCTTCCTTTTCAAATTCACTGTCATCCTCGACGGTCATGGTGAATTTATCGTGTGCCTCCTGTACCTCTTGGTAGGCCTGCTCATACTTGACGAAGGAGCTTCGCATCTCTGCCTTACTGCGGCTTTCGGATATTAATAACTGTATTCCGTGGCCGTACCTAGTGAGCTTGGCTTTTGCTCCCCTTCGTTTCAGCTTCAGTTTGCCGCTGTTTTCTTTTTCTTTTTCATCGGCCATTCTTCCTCCTCTGAGACGTCCCAGGTTAGCGTTGAAATTAAATTGATGGATCGCTCCAGAGGCAGGAAACTCAAACGTCTTAACGCTCCCGTTGAAATGATATATAACCGTTAAATGGTTTTTATTTAATCTGCAAGAACAGAACAATTACACATGCATTAGATGCCACATTCACCATAACGAACATAAATCCAACAGGCTTACCATCCTGCCACAAGTGTGAACACGCCCCTCTTTTGACGAATACTAGAAACCGTACGTTTACTCAATAAAGATATATAAACATAACCATAATTTCAAACCCGTATGCCAACATAGTTTACCTGCATACTCTATACAAATACATAAATCATGCATTTATATAAATGTGTAGACTTATGTATTTGTATGGAGTATCAGGGGCGGATACAGGATTTCTGTAAGGGGGGGGTGCAATAAATAAAAAGGGCAACTGTTATGGATGGAGCGTGTGGTGAAGGTGCACGCGGCGAGCGCCGAAAGCCGGAGGCGCGAAGCGGACAGCGGAGGGGGGGGTATGGGGGCACTCCCCCAGATTTTTTTTTAAATTTAGACCCCGGAAATGGCATTTCCTGCATTGTCAGGTGATTTTTAAAGGATCTAAATACCATAAGTTTCAATGAGAAATATTTATTTGAAATTACATCATTTATAATCGCTTCACTGACCAATAATAATACATTATAACTAATTTTTAGTATGATGATTTTTTTAACCATTTTACTAAGTTTAAAATGTAGTGTAGTGTGACCAGTTTATGTTAAATGTTATAGGTTATTCAACAATACTAGACTTAAAACGTAGACCTTTTCAAAACAGTCTCGTTTTGAATAGTGACTATTCAAAAATGAGGCTGTTTTGAAAAGTCTACGTTTGTGCTTTCTAACGAATTCATTGCATACATCAGCTACTGATATTGCCAAGCTGTGTGTATATTCATGAGAGCTAATGAGGCCAACCGTTCTTGACACATGTTGCTGCGGAGGTATGTTTTCAAACGTCGAATGCAAGAAAAAGACTGCTCTGCTTCAGCACTACCTACTGCAATGTACACCCAACATGCAAAAGAACTTTAATGTTTAGAATTCATCATTGTCAGCTACACTATAACACTGAATAAAATTCTTTGGAATGGAGTCTACTGCGTTCACCCTCCAGGTATTGGCCCACTCCTTGAGTTCATTCTTGAGGGCTGTTGGATTCGGCAGATCATCCTCCAGTAAGATAATTTCTCACATAATGCATCAAAGTCTGTACATTTGACGATGGAGCATGGCATCAGGTGAAATATGTCCCCACCTGCCCTGTTTCTTGGCGGAAACGAGAGTCCAGCTCATGGGTCAAGTGATCTAAGAATGGAATCGCCACATTCTTCTTGTAGTACTCCAATGGGGTGGTGGCATTCGCATTCGCACGGTGGACCTGTTGTCCTACTAGGCGCGGCATTTGAACCTGGCTACCAATGTTTTCTGCCATCTTTGTTGCATCACTGAACCAATCAATAAATTCTATATCTATATTTGTTCTGAAATCTGAGATTTTCTTCTTTTTGCGTCGATTTTGCTATAGGCATCAATAACATCAAGTCCATTCTCTTGCAACTTCTGTGCAAGAGACTTTAGACAGTGAAGTGAATCTTGTTGTATAGAATGTAACAATGAACTTGAACGAAGTCAGAGTTGAAAGCAGGCCTTGTGCTGAGACTCTGGTGTCACGATGCCAGTTCCATGGCTGGTCATTTTCTGCTGGATTGAGCATTCTCTCAAGGCATTGGCATAATGATGGGTAAAGTTCTTCAAACGTTTCATAGCATGTGTGTCTTTCAACCATCGTGTCTTACATAGTCCTTTTAGCTTTTTACCGATGGACTATCTTCCTTCTCATCCAGAATTTCTTCCAAATATCTCTGCCTTTTAGGTGAGTAATCAAAGAACTTGAAGATCTCATTGACACTAGGCAATCATGTTTCTGATTGCTGGTACTTTGCATGCTGCTGCTATGGATAAGTTCAGTACGTGGCAATTACAGTGTGTGTATACTGCACGGGGAGCTAGTTCTTTAATGCGTCCTTGAACGCCAACTCTGGCTGATGACATGCAGGAGGCACCATCGTAACTCTGACCACGAGCTTTTCTGATATCTATACCTCTTCGAAAGAGGCAGTCAACAATAGCATTGCTGATCGACTCACCAGTTGTTCTTTCCAAGTAAATAAAGTCAAAAAACACTTCCTTTACTCCAGGTGGGGTCTTTATTGTGTCAAGGAAGCGCAAACAGACAGCTAGAACTTCCGGTTTCCATGAGAATCCGTGACTTCATCACCCATGATCGTAAAGAAGGAATCATCAGCTTGCAAGCATTCAGTCAAACGTCTACGAATATTGTCACCAATAATCTCTATGATTTCGTTCTGAATAGTTTTAGATGTATATCGAGAATTCCGTTTGCCATTCTCTAAGTGATCCCGCAAAACTAGGTCAGACGAAGCAATGTGATTTAGGATAGCCAAGAAGTTGCTTTGTTACACGTGCCACTACACTTTTCCGTATTGTCATCCGATGGCCACGTAAGGCTATATTTTTGCTTTCCACACAGTAATACAACACAACAATTGACTTCAGAATTGCAGATTTTTATCATAAATCTGTTGATTCTCACATGACATTATGATATGGTATTGTCTGGGTTGGATTATTTAATGCATGTACTAACTCACATCCTGCACTTACTGCCTGTTTATGATAATCAAATGTACTAAGTCTAACCAAAACCCATCTTTTCCCGTAGCTTTCTTAAGGTTTGTTAGGGTGTTGACACAAGCACACCAGTACAGATTTTAGTGTTCTTTGGTGGGAAAAGTACACAGTATTTGCAGATACCTCCTCCTAGAACTGAACTGTACTCAAGCCATGCAAACTGTTCCAGCCACTGTGTCTGGAATACCAATTCATATGACCGTCCTTGATTTGTTCTGTTCACAGTTTGAGTACAGAGCCGAGATTCTTGGAAGGTTTGGAGTGATCTTTTATGTATTTCACTTTCTGTTCCATTGTTAGTGATATCAACGGCACTTTTCCATTTACAATATTTCCAACATCGTAACAAGTAGGACTTTTGCGATCAGCAGGATTCTCCCCATCATTGCAATCAGTAGGATTCTCACCATCATTGCGATCAGCAGGATTCTCCCCATCATTGCGATCAGTAGGATTCTCACCATCATTGCGATCAGTAGGATTCTCCCCATTATGCGATCAGTCAGGATTCTGCACATCATTGACGATCAGTAGATTCTCACCATCATTGCGATCAGTAGGATTCTCACCATCATTGCGATCAGTAGGATTCTCACCATCATTGCGATCAGCAGGATTCTCCCCATCATTGCGATCAGCAGGATTCTCCCCATCATTGCAATCAGCAGGATTCTCCCCATCATTGCGATCAGTAGGATTCTCCCCATCATTGCGATCAGTAGGATTCTCACCATCATTGCGATCAGCAGGATTCTCATCATCATTGCGATCAGTAGGATTCTCACCATCATTGCGATCAGTAGGATTCTCACCATCATTGCGATCCGGAATAGCTGGAGCCGGTTCACGACTTCTGTTTAATGAAAATTAAATAGGCATTAGCCCAGAGTCCATGCTGATTCTGATCATATAATTATTGTTATTGTTGACAGGCAATTAGCCTGCCCTAGGTGTATAGGCTATGGATATGGTGCCTGGGTGGGTGAGTGTCAGGTAGCACATCATGATTGAAGCAATAGGTTATATGAAGTATAGCTTCATGCTTCATGAGCCGGCCCATGTCGCATCACATGCAAGTCCCCACTAGTTTGAAAAAAGTAATAATTAATTAAACATTTTACAAAATATTTTAAGATAGAAATACCTCATACAGTCTGTTTATACGCATACATTTCGCTGCAATTTCATTTCTAAGTCGCTCCTTCAGTCTCTTGTTCCGTTTCTGGTTCGGCATACTGTCACATGTGCAAAAATATCTCATTTATTGAACATGTTCAGTTGAACGAAGAAATCACAACACGGTCAGCCATGACACTGCAAATTGTCGTATCTTCAAACATTTTCACTGTTGTGTTTGTGAGCCTTATATAGAACCAGCGAATCTTTTAGAACACCAGAATTTTCTGGAAATGTCCCGAATGGTCCCGAAGATTACCGAACGTTGTAGAAGCCGGTGGACTGTCCTGAAAGCTTAAAAGAGGTCGCTGCGTATCTTGCACTATCGTAGACTAGTCCCTTGCCATATATTACTATCGTATATTACACGTAGTGAAGAGACAGAAAAGCAGTCTAGCACTACCAGTGCTGGGGGAACAGAAGCGCCGTATTTTGTGAGTAAATTTGGTTTCCAGTAAAAAATCTTTAAAAAAATTTGCGAGGGGCCTGAAAAAAAGGGCACATTCTTAAAAAAGGGCACATACTTAAATTAAGGGGGGGGTGCGCACCCCCTGCACCCCCCCCCTGAATCCGCCCCTGCAGTATGCAGGTAAACTATGTTGGCATACGGGTTTGAAATTTTGGTTATGTTTATATATCTTTATTGAGTAAACGTACGGTTTCTAGTATTCGTCAAAAAAGGGGCGTGTTCACACTTGTGGCAGGATGGTAGCCATGTTGGATTTATGTTCGTTATGGTGAATGTGGCATCTAATGCATTTGTAATTGTTCTGTTCTTGCAGATTAAATAAAAACCATGTAAGGGTTATATCATTTAAACGGGAGCGTTAAGACGTTTGAGTTTCTTGCCTCTGGAGCGATCCAGTAATGTTATTCTGTTAATTAGCTAACACTCTGTTAGACGGTCACTATACGTGCCGGGAGATGGCGTGCGTGAGGCAGGGAGGCGTGGCAAAGGAATGGAAATGGAGTATCAGAATAAAGGTTCATTCTGGAAAATATATAAAGTGTTTGTCCTCACTGAAGTTATAGGCATGACTTTACAAGTAGGGCATGTGAATGGAATAAATCATTTCGCAAAGAAGTAAGTATACTGAAAATAAATATCATTTGTTTCTAAATTGGCCGACCTACTTCGTAAATGTAATTACTAAAACATATTCCCATTACAATATTAAAATGATTTATGTTTTTTGACAGTAGGGGCCTACCGGTATGTCTAATCGCTTACTACATCGTTGCTTAAAAATACATTATCTATTATCTACAAATCTATTATTATTCACTCCTGATTATATTGTAGTAGTTTATTTTAATAGGTGCATTTTATATTACAGTTACAGCCAGTTACCATCGCAGATTCACAGGACATTTTAAAAGGTGCCAGAAAGAAGAATGTAACTTCAGTGTCTGGAACGGAAAAAAGCTCAGCTTTCGAGTGATGCTGTTCTCCTTTCATTGAAGCAGGCATGTTCCACCGCCATGTTCTTTGACACGATCCACCCAGTCGGCGATGATGGCGAGGAAACTGACAGCGCTGCATGACGAGGAGAAGCAGTTCGAGACCTATCGGTCACCCTATCTTACTTCCTTTTATATTGACTTTATTGTATGGGTGAAATGCGAGTTGTACGATGCAAAGTTCTGTCGGCG